TATAGATTATTTATTGCTCGGTGCCGCGGCCGCTAATAACACACACGCTACAAATTAGTCCCTTGTGTGTATATTTTTTTTATTATAACGTGGCTATTGAAAAATATATATAAATAAATTTATTCAGAAAATAGTTCTCACGGATGGATATTTAATTGATTAATTCTTATTCGGCGGAATGTTGTCCGGATTGGGAGAAAGAAAAGAGGCATCTGGAGTGATAAAAAGGCGATTTCCATTAACTGGGGCCGCGGCGAGTTCGCCTCGGTGACCTCTGGAGCGCGGTCAAAGGTGCGGGATCAAGCTGGCGCGCGGAATGGGAATTTTTCTATAATTAAAATAATTTTCCTTTTCTGTATCAAAAAGCTCTCTTCCAATTTCGGTACGCGGTGCCGTGAAAATTTAGCCAGTTATGTTGCTCAATAATTAGCAAATCGTGCTTGCATCTCGGATCCAAAAAGATGAATAGATATTGGATGATTTAGTTCTGTTATTAAATTACGAGGGGGAAAATTTATATGGAAGATTTTCAATTAATATTGAATAAATATTATGTTATAATTTAATAGATATCAAAATTGTTAAATCCTGGTTCTATTTTCTTCAGCAAAGGGTTTTTTGAAAACCCGTTTCTAAATTTCAAAGAATTTTGCTAATAAAAATGACTATTTTGACGCTCTTGTCAGCCTCACGATTTTAACTTAAATGAAAACCTTTTTGTTTTTAATTTGCAGCACAAATAAAAATAAAAATAGACATAATTATTGAAACAAAAAATTATGCAGTAAATCCTTAACACCAAAAGATATCAAAATCTGACCTTCCCCTACCCCAACCAAATCCACATCCTTTCTTAATCTTTTTTCTCTCTTTTAGTTTTCAGCTTTGTTTGTCATCATCGCGTGGACCAAAATAAAGTATATGCCAGTAAAAAATGATGATTTTTTAAATAAAGTTGAACCCAAAAATAAAAATAAAAAAATTCATTGGGTGGTGCCATCTGTACCACCAACAAAGGGCACAGGCCGACAAGACTTTGTCTTGGCCTGACCCTAAAAAAAAAAAAAAAAAAAAAAAAAAAAAAAAAAAATTAAAATTTAATTAAATCAGTTAAATAGTTATTTATTAAATTCCCATATAATCAAGAAACTGTGTTTTTTCCCCATTTCTTTCTGATAAATCAACATCTGAATAAATGAATGATAAATAGATTTCTCCATCAAAGGATTGACTCTGATTTATGCGATTGATGCATAATAGTGAGATGAGCTAGTGGGAGCGAGCGAGTTACAAATATGCGAAGAAAGTTCCGTTTTTTCCTCTGCAAACGCGCGGCGCGGGTACGGCACAGCAAAAGTTAATAACGGAGAAATTCCAGAGCAAAAGTGTAAATATATAAAAAGCCGTGAGAGAATGAGTGTGGAAATGGAGCAGAGGAGGATGTTGGCAGGGTGCTGTTTTTAATGATGATCAAATCAATTAACACACTTTTTTATTTGTGCGTGAGTGGACAGTGTGTCTTCTTGTGCGCGCGCTTTTACTGCTGTTTGCTTTATCGTCTCATTCCGTGTGTGCGCGCGGGGAACGCGAGGTGCTAATTGCACATCTCTGCGCTGCCGCGCTGAAAGTCGGATAATGTTATTTATTCAGATGCTGCTCTTCTTGTTCAACGCTCGAATAATAACTAAAAGGGAACGGCAGCGCCGCGCCTTTTAATTAACACGTTGCGCGCAGCACTTTAATTTTATCCACACATTTCCCAGCACGACCCTTCCGCTGCCACTTTTTGCTGCTCCATTTCAAGACGTAATTTCGTGAATAATATCAGCGCAAACGTTGTGGCCTTTTTAGTTTTCAAAATTTCATTATTTTGTATTAATTTTTCTGATTTTTACTTGCGTTGCAGATCGTGACAGAAACTGGCAGAGATAATTTGGAAACAAATTTGAAATGAATGCAAGATCTGCATCTTTTTTTATTCCTTTGTTTTTATTTTGTCATATAAAGTGAGATATTATCTAATTATTGCACTAAATTTACATTTACATTGTTTGTTAAACGTGAATTAATGCAGATATTGCCTTCCCTGTAATGCTTCTGAGAATAACTTTTGATAGCCTAAAAGTTTTATCAAATTATGCGAAAAAAAATTAAATGAACTTTACTGCAGTACTTAAATTTTCCGAATTTTCTCTTCTTTAAAAAAAATAATAATAATAATAAAAAAATGTGCGATTTATTTTACAGTTTACACATCTAAAAAAGTTGCAAGTTCACAACTCAATTTTTATATAAAAAGAAAATGACCTGTCATTTGCTACAAATTTCACCGATTTTCTTGCATAAAAGGTAAATAACAAAAGCTGTAAAAAATAAAATTGAATAGATTTCTCCCAGGCTGCAGTTAACCTATTTGCCGAATGGCTCGGAATTCCACAAATAAGCCGCCTTGATTGATACACACACAGGCCACAATCTGTTAGGCCATTAGCTTTTGTGATGGAAAATCGGCATCGCGGGCAAATTGTGATTTTGCGCTTTTTTCATTGTTGCCTTTGTTCCATTGAAGACGAGGAGCGCTTATTGGATTTTACGTGCTCCAAAAAAGGATTGCCATTCTTGAATACGAAGCTGCAGGAGCAGTTGTTGGTAATTGCTAGACACGCTCGCTCGCTACTCTTTTTGCTCTATCCCGCGCGCACTGCTCTCTTATAATGAGCGAACGAGTCAACGGACGAGGCGGCGCGTTATTGTGTACATGCGGAAAAAAAGTCCGAAGCGGATCCAATCGCTAAACCCGTCATAAGTGTCTGCGATTCTATTTTCCCGCACAAAGCCCTTTCAATTCAATTTATGCAACTTGCGTGTTAAGTGCTTCAAATTACGAATATCAATTTTTTTTGTCATGCGTGCTTGTTCGAATTAAAATGCGGGGATGCGAGAACAACTTTTGTGACTGAACAAACATGTGGTAAAAATGCGATTGTGACAGCTTAGAGGTGAGAACAACATAAAAATTTTCAAAGGCGTAAATATAATTGTACTGGGTGGTTAAGTTTCTATAAAATATAATATTGTACATAAAAATCCTAGATTTATTCTTTAAAGAAAAATGTCTTAGTAATTTATTGAGTACTCACTTAATTAAAAAATTGAATTATTATTGAAACCTTAGATAGACCGCAATCTTTTTAAATTTGAATTTATTCATAAAATAGATTTCAGTTCAATTTAAATGGTATTTTTTCATGCCGTGTCCATTCTCAGCATAAATAAACATGCATGATCAAATTTCAAGTGAGAGCGGAAGGTTAAGTGAATTGAATTTGAATTTAAAAGGGAAAAATTGCCATCCTACGTTACAAAGGATGTAGTATCGATTTTTAAGCATAAATTTATCCATTGATATAAAATTAAAACAAATTTTTTCCCGTATTTGCAATAATTGCTATTTTTAAATTAAATCAAATTTAATGCGGAGTAAGAATAAAATGAATAAACTGGACATATTAAAAAAGGTCAAATTTATTCACAAAGCGTATACAAAATAATCTCCAGAGTTAATCAAAGTCTTATTTGGCCATTTTTAAATGAAAAAAAGTTTATGAAGCCCTTCTTTAATCATGTCATAAAAAATACGATTCCTAATTTTTCAAATGAAAGCCTCCCGAAGCAACTTGTAAGGGTCAGGACGTGAGATGTAAGTTGTAATCCATTTCATATTTTCCTCCTGCTAAGGGCACCTTGCATTGAATTCGGACCGTATAGTACAATATGAATACATTCACGCTGGTCGTTATTATAAGTGGAAGCGACGCACAGCGTGATTTTCTCCCGATTTTCAACCGCAATCGTCGTCCATTATAAATCACGACGCGCGAGAGAAATATATTTATTTTGAATACGTTCAAGTATGCAGCACGTGATATACATTCGGTTCGAAACGCCAGAGCTGATTAATCGCCGGGGCAAATCTCATCTTCTCGTCTGACGGAAATGTATTTATTTTCGCCTAATTGTAAGTGCTGAGCGATCGAGGCTCTTAAAAGAAAAGGAGGTGTGCGCGCGCGTCATTTTTCTTGAGCCCGGCCGGCCGCGGCCCGGCCATGATTGCAGCGATTAATAATTTTCGTCCCGACCAAATTGAAATATCACAAACGGTCTTGTTTTGGGGTTCACGGTCCAACTATATAATGGACAGCAAACTTATCTAGACACGGAGCAGAACAAATTCTAAAACGGAGCACACATCATTTTAACACAGACTTTGCTTTATTCATTATTTGTTTTCAAGATTTAAATGTTTAGATCGAGCTAAACTTGATTGCAGCTTTTATGTCGAGGTTTTCATTAATTTTTTTTTGTTTTTATTAATAATTTTGATCCAAATTTCACGGGCTACATTTCTCATAATCTTGCAGTAAAAGTGGAGGCAGTGATCATCCTACAAATTTGACTTGTAATTACAAAAAAAATGCCAAAAAGTGACATTTCCCTGACTTGTATGTCAACAGCAGATTTTCAGCGTAAACGGTTACTTGAGGAACAGTTAATATCTTTGATTTAACTTAAACCGTTCCAAAGTTAAAAAAAAAATAAAAATACCGGCTCATTTTTCACGACCCAAAATTTCGGGACAGGCCCCTTTCTGAGGTCTCAAAATCACTCAAAATTTACGAAGCGGAGGCCCCTCAAGAAACCCACTACTATAATAATTATGTTAAAATAAGAATCAAGTTATTATTTTCCAAAACCTCACAATCTCACTCAGAAATGTTAATGAATTTTTTAATCTCCTCGCAAACCATCATTTTCACTCGATCTTTTGCAGATATTTTGCAGTATTGCCGCTAAAAAATAAAAATTTTCTTAAATTTACGGCAGGTAAGCCTGATTAGGCGTTTTGGGCCAAATTAAACAAGTGAATCAACTTAATTGCGATAATTAAGAGCCTCGTCCTCGTAGGACAATTGAAAGGCGAAAACGAGAAGAGAACTTACTTTTCCCTACTTTTCCGTCGACTGGTCCGACTTGCTTGCGAGCTGCTCTGCTTCACTGCAGGGCTGACTGAAGAGCTTCTTCTCATGTTGCATTTCGTCCGATTTTCGCCCATTTCGGGCCGAAGTTGGGCTCAATCTTGACCCGGCAAGACACGATGCACTCTTGTCAACAAAGAAAGCCAAGCCATTACTAATGATATGTGGGCTAGTTCGATTGTCTTGTGGGAGAAAAGAGCGGGAACGAGTTTGGCAGCCCGACAAAGTTGTGTGAAATGACTGAATGGAGGGCTTACCTATCCTTATCTCCTGCATTTCCACATTCCATCATGGTGCCAAAACGCACCTGCAATCGGTCGGCCGAAAATTGGATGGTTTCGTCGTCGAAATCGGCAATTGAACTTTCGGCCAAGGAACATTTCATGCGCATTCGCCATGTTGGCCCGCTCTTTTCTGAAAGTCTTCCGTCTTCCCGACTCCCTCGTCCGCTGCCTAGTGGATGCTGCTGCTCTGTCCTCGAAGACGAGAGCGAACAAGTCTTAACAAGTCTGGACGGCGGCGAGAGACAAAGCGAGAGGCAGGCAGGACAAATTATAATGAAATCGCGCCGATCGAAAATTTAATTATAACGCTTTTAATAATCAACTTCATATTTGCAGCATTGATAAATGATGAACTGACGTAAATTTTCATTAATTATTTTCAAATAAATCTGTATTTGGAGTTGAGTTATGAAGCATCTTTCAGCAAATTTTTATATTTCATATTTATCAAGAAATAATTTTAAATATAAAGAAACTTTCAAAGATTCATGATCTCCTCCCCCTTCACTTTTTCAGCAACATTAGAACAAATGTAGCCCGTGAAATTTTACATCTTTGGATCAAAATTTAAAAAAAAAAAATCAATGAAAATCACGATAAAAGCTGCAATCAAGTTTTCCCCGATCTAAACATTTAAATATTAAAAACATGGATTTAAATGAAAGTTTTTTTTGTCTTAAAATTATTTCTTGATAAATACAAAATATAAAAATTTGCTGAAAAATGCTTCATAACTCAGCTCCAAATACAGATATATTTTAAAATAAATAATGAAAAGTTACGTCAGTTCATCATTTATCAATGCTGCAATTGTGAAGTTGATTATTAAAAGCGTTATAATTAAATTTTTAATCGGCGCGATTTCATTATAATTTGTCCTGCCTGCCTCTCGCTTTGTCTCTCTCCGCCGTCCAGACTTGTTGAGACTTGTTCGCTCTCGTCTTCGCAGCATCCACCAGGCAGCGGACGAGGGAGTCGGGAAGACTTTCAGAAAAGAGCGGGCCAACATGGCGAATGCGCATGAAATGTTCCTTGGCCGAAATTTCAATCGCCGATTTCGACGACGAATCCACCAAATTTTCAGCCGACCGATTGCAGGTGCGTTTTGGCACCATAATGGAATGTGGAAATGCAGGAGATAAGGATGGGTAAGCCCTTCTTTCGGTCATTTCACACAACTTTGTCGGGTTGCCAAACTCGTTCCCGCTCTTTTCTCCCCCACAAGACATTCGGACCCACATGATTAGTAATGGCTTTCTTTGTTGACAGAGTGCATCGTGTCTTGCCGGGTCAAGATTGAGCCCAACTTCGGCCCGAAATGGGCGAAAATCGGCCGAAATGCAACGTGAGAAGAAGCTCTTCAGTCTGCCCTGCAGTGAAGCAGAGCAGCTCCCAAGCCAGTTGGACCAGTCGACGGAAAAGTAAGTTCCCTTCTCGTTTTCGCCTTTCAATTGTCCTACGAGGCTCTTAATTATCGCAATTAAGTCTGATTCACTTGTTTAATTTGGCCCAAAACGCCAAATCAGTCTTACCTGCCGTAAATTTGGGAATTATTTTTTATTTTTAAGAGTCGAAATACAGGTGTACTTTGACTTTTGACAGCGTTATGGAATATGGAAATGCATAGGAGATAGGAATATAAGGTAAGCCCTCCTTAAACATTTCCACGAGTTTTGTAATTTTAATTTGCAGAATAGAGAAAAGAATTTAAAATATAAAACCTTACAAAAAAATGTAGCAAATTAAAATTGTCTAATAATTCTTACATGGTCGACGAAAAAAATGACCAAAATTATAATAAAAATAGTTTGGATTTTATCTGAAGTAGCCAATCGATTCATGGAAATTTAATTTTGATGATGGAACTTAAATTTCATCAAAATATGTAGTTTTTTCTGAATATTTGGACTATACATACTGACGATATACGGACGATAGTTTTTACAGGCGATAGTTTTTTTTCTCAAAACGCAAAATCTGTAGATAGAAGAGGATCTAAATTTTCTAACACTATAATCCTACATAATTTGCTACAAATGATCCATTTCAATTGCGATTGCATATAACGAGCGATTTTTTCTAAATAAATTATACATATGCATATGAAATTCAACCCAATTAGTGTGATAATATTTTTTTTTCATTAAGTTCAAGGAATAGATTAAATATAAATGTTTGAAGTATTTATTTTTGTATGTATAAAAATGAAGTAATCGGGCCAGATTATACTTCATTTCCATAATCATCTCCTCGAGTGTCATCTTCTTCTAACAAATTTTTTTGTTTAATTTTTAGAATTTCTCAATTCATTGCATTGATTGATTTATAAAATGCCAAAGGCGTGCAACGACCTTCCTCTAAGAACAGAAAATGCAAATTCATTGTGTAACATTATCCAATTTTACTCTGATTAAATTTAAATAAATATATAGGATAGTAAAAATCGTTTTTTTAAAGAAAATTTATTATCCTGCTATAAAGTTTTCTGTTTTCCCTCTGTAATCGAAAAAATTTAAACCTTTATGTGTATCTGCCATCCATTACTACAAAGGTGAGACCCAAAGGACACGAAACCACACACGTTCTCTCTCATCTTCAAAGCCCCCTTTTTATCTATTTCATTAAAATTTAACACGCTCTTGTATCTTTCGGGAGAGGCGCGGCCCCTCCTTTCACATAATAGAGGACGCATTCAAATTGGAGTGTCCCATTGAAAAAAGAGCATCTCTTTACTTGCGTGCATGTCATTTTTAAATGTAATGATTAACGCGCGTGCATATTTATCACCGGCGGCGCAACTCGACAACCATCGCTAATAGCCGCAGAAGTAACTTGGCTGCACAAATCACGCACGCATACACACACTTTTTTATTCATATATCGCCGTCGTCGTCGGCGGTTATATGTGCAGCACTAGCGGGTAATTATTTTCAGCACAACACACCGCGCCAGCAAAAGAGCATCTTCTTAATCTCTCTCTGCGAATGCAAATACCAGTAAACCACTCTTGCCTTCAGATTTTATTACACGCGCTATATGTGCATCCAGTCGGGTTTAAATTTTAAACAGAGGTTTTCTCGAACGCTTTAATTTAATTGGAAGCTTCAATTGCATGCTCAGTCAGTGATTATTACAGATGCAAAGCAATTTACAAGTCTCAAACTTATGAGACAATTATTGCTTTAAGATTTGAACGGAAAGTTAAACTTAAAATCCACTCACAAAAATTCAAATAATTTTTTAAATTTTTTCAGAAGCTGTTGAATAGTTTAGCAAAAATACGAATAAAATGGCATTCAAGACATTAAAAAACATGCGTTTTCTCAATTTTAAATTTGCTATCATCATTTGTAAAAAAAAATCTTATTATTTAGTAAAATGAATCTGCCCGAAAACTCTATCCAGGGTTTCGTCAAAACTTTTCAATTTATTTATTTCAGCAATTTTGTATCTTTAATTCGCTCTTTTTTTGTATAACAAATCTACTTATTCCAGAAATCAATAATTTATCGGTAAATTTCACCAATTATCTTCATTCCAAATCTGTACCTCATATTTTGTCCGTTTATTTACTCTCTGTTGTTAGCTCGTTAACTTCCCTTTCATGCAGCAAAGTGAATTATTTTTGGATTGCGAGCCGAGATTATCAAGAATTGAGATTAGCCTGGTGGCTGAAAAAAATTATTTTTTACTGATCTCGGTGACCGATCAGATATGATTTTATTGTACCAAATTTTGCTGACAAAAAGGCACACAAAAGAGCGACATCACGTAAAAGAAGAAAAATGGAATTTATAGATTTTCGGTGACTCAGGGTGACGTGACAAATCGAGCTGCCGCGAGATATTTCACAACAACAGAGAGTGCATTTCACAGATCAGTGAATGAGATCATAACGGATCGCGCGCACGACCATAAATTTTTTTAGATTATTGCCTTTCCTATATGGTGAAAAAAATCCACCCCTCTCAACATTTGGGCTGTGATTTTTGCTTCTATTTGGGTCACTTTTTAAATTTTTCTTTCCCACTGTCCTCTCGAGTAGGAAGGTTTTTTTTTATCTTTTTTTTACTCTGGCTCTTTTGTTCAACGTGATCTACTTTCGACCTGACAGGTTCAGGTATAACAATACGGGGGTGCAGTCAGACACTTTATAAAATTCCCATTGTTGGCCTGCTTGAAAAAGCATCAAAAGTCGTTTCGGGGGAGGAATAAGAATTATGACTCTGATTTCTTGTGGCTTGTCTCTTAAAAATTTTTTTACCTGGTGCGGTTCAAAAATCCGAACCAAATCCCGCGTGAAAAGAGATCTGCAATAAAATTGTGAGATGCTCTCCGCGCAACAGGATATTTGAGAGAAGAGGAGAAAAAAATAATAAATAAATTAAGAGCTGAGTCTGTGTGTGCGCAAAAATGTGGCACAAAGAGCCCGTTGGAACAGCATATCCTCCTTGGACCAACTTTTTGTGTGATGTATGCGACGCGTCAAATTTTTCATGTGCGCGACCTTTTCTGATTTAAATATTTCGTTTCTTTTTAAACACACATTTATGGAGCCTCGCGGAGGACTAGAAAAGGAAAATGAGTAAAATTTACATCGTTGTCTGAATAAATGATTAGGGATTTTATTTTTCTAAAAAAAATCAGTTCTTTTATGAAAACGGTTAGTTCTTTTCATAAAGTTGTGCCAGCTAATTTTAATTGCTAATTTAATTGAAATGCTTTGATAATATTGATTTTTACATGAATGTATTAAGAAAGTAATAAGTAAGGAGTTATAATTTTCTGTTAGTTTGAAAAAAAAACATTTTGAAAGCCTTTTGCTCAACCTCTGGGACCTACAGACAAAATTTAAGTCTATACATTAGCTGCATTTTTTTTATATTTAATTAATCATTAGAAAGTCAACTCGTTTCTCCAGTAAAATTCTTAATGGACTGGCAAATGAAATTTCAGAAGAATAATTTTTAGTGCCATTTTGAGATGACAGATAACGCGCTTATTTAAAGGCAGAAGCTACAAAATTTGGATTTGAATGAAATAAAGGAAGTTCCATCATTTTACCAAAGAATTTCAGAGGTTGATTTCAATTTAAGCTAAAGTTGCGGAAACTCTCTTTTATTTTAAATTAATTTCACCATCAAAACATTAATTGAAGTTTCAGTTTTTGACGTGAATAAATAAAGATTACTTTTTTTATTAAGATAACATTTTTTCAGTTTGAAAAATGGTTTGATTGCCTTTCATCTGGCGGTGCTAATTATCTGGCGAGCGGTAATTAATATGGTGCTCACGCGCTTATATGGTTGCTCGTTACTTTCTGAATGTTATTATTAAAAAATAACAATGAGAGCTTATGGGTATGTATCGCACCAACCGATAATTCATGCAGCGTCTCTGCATCTTTTTCTCTCTCTCTCTCCTCGCTCGTCCCGACCCCAAAAATTAATATTAATGGCGGAGATGATAAAGCGTTTTTGTGCTTTAAAAAAAAAGCAGTATAGTGTACATAATATAAGAGGCGAGTGTGTTTGATATAGTTGCAATATATATGATCTTGAAATGCCGGCGCGCTCACAGCGCTCTGCTCTTCCTCTACTCTTCTTCTTGAAACGTTTCGTAACCCGCGTGTCAAGGGCACGCCGTTAATAAACATCAGCAAAGCACAAATAAGAATGCTGTCCCAGCGACCGACGCGCCAGAGAGCAAACCTCTTGTAAGTGCACATACATACATCGCGTATAATTTATATAAACTTAGCGTGCCCGCACGAATCATATTTAGCCGCAAAAGTTGAAATTCGTATATTGCTGCAAAAATATTAACACGAGTTTGGTCATTTTCCACCTCATTATCATATTTAGATTCTGATCCGTATTAATTTTAATCTTAAACAAGAAAAAATAATTATTAAATAAGTTTTTTTAAGAGTAATTAAATCGAAAAGATTTTTTTTTTCAGAAAAGGAAGATGCAAATTATAAGAAATGAAAAACAAAAGTTTCTGTTAATTATAAACTAAAAATATTTTGAGGAATATCAATGAAATTTTTGCAAGAATTTGACCGAAAACAAATGAACTATAAAAATTTTTAATTTTTAATGATTCTTTGAATATTTGTATCAACCTGTGGCGTTGAAAAAAAAATCATCATTTAATTTTCGCACTCTAATGCTATTTTCCCAAGCAGAGGTAATTCTTAATTGATTTTTACTCACAGACCTGAGTCACTTCTCTTCAACAAATTAAATAAAAAATTACAGTAAACAGACACTTTTGGATTTTAATGGGCTGCAAAGTATGAAATCGAATTCGCGACTCAGAAAGTTATAGATAATACGAAATTAATGAAAAGGTTTTCATCAATTTTTTTCATTTGTCCCTTTTTAATTTTATGACATGCCGCATATGACTTTGGACC